TTACATTACATTTTAGAGCATGAAAAAATACCTTAAGTAGGATTCACCTGTGATTTCTTTCTTTCTTTCTTTTTAATAGCACAAAAAAGCCAAAGATTTAGCAAAAATTCCAACGAAACTGAAATCTTGCTTATTGGACCCCAACAAATCAAAAAAATTACTACCATCTACTGTTTATCTGTGTCAACATTAAACATGATATCTTGGTGGCTTATTTGACAGGAATTTATGTTTTGAGAACATATCACTAAGCTTGTCCAGTCCTGTTTTTAATCACATCGGAAATATTGCAATAATAAGATCTATTTTAAATGTTACAGATGCAGAAACTGTTGTACATGCTTTTAACTCCTTGTGCCTTGATTATTGCAACAGCCTCTTCTCTTGTCTAAATCAAAAATCTTAAAATGACTAGACCTAACCCTCAGCTGCTCGGCTTTTAACCGCTTTTTTTTGGACCTTTTAATCCCTTATGAACTTTTGCGTAGTTTGAGATCTTCGGGCATAAACCCGCCTGAGGAAATCTGGCTGTTCAAAATTCTTTCTTTAAGTGTCTTCTTAAAACGGATATTTATCGAAAAGCATGTACGGATTTTGTCTGAGCTGCCTTCATTTTAATGTTTTATTTTCTTATAATTTTTATTTTATTTTTGGCCCTTGTGTATTTTATCATTCATTGTGGTATTTTATTTCATCCTCATCTGTGTAAAGCACTTCACTTTGTTTTGATAAGTGCTTTATAAAGTTTATTATTTGTTATTAGGGGTTTTAGGGCTGAAAGTGGACTCTTTTTCTAAATAGCATACAAGAAATGCTCAGTAACTTCAAATTAATAAACAAGCTATCCTTTGTCTTTGAATAGTGATAGAAGGTGAACAAGCTACATAGTGACTGAAAATCTTTGAACCAAACTGAACAAAACCTGATGATTTCAGGGTTCTCACACATTTTGACCAATGAATTTCCATGACTTTTTCATGACTTTAAGCCAAATTTTCACGACTGAACAAAGAAAAAGAGCACGCCAGTGTCTGCACATGTTTTGTAAGAATAATGCGAATCTACACCTTTAGTGCCCATAGTACATCCGCAGGTAGTAGGCTACTTCATTCTATATAGCATCTGTCATCGATGTTTGCTTGGTAACAGAGAAGGGAGATGAACTTTTTAGCAGCTGGCAGAGTGTATTTTCTAGATACCTAATGATGCAAGCCTTCTCAATTTTAAGTGTTTACTAGCATTAGCATTAGTCAGGCATGTGATTGGCATAGGACAAAAAGGCAAGAAAATAAACCACACGAGCACATGGCACAGTGCTGTGGGTCCTCTCCCAAGAAAATTATAGTTATTTGAATAAAAACTGCATATCCACATAGTTTTACACTATCATGACAGTGTTTCAATGCATATACTCAACGCATTATGCATTAGTATAATATAACAATAAATAAAAAGTATAAATTTCATTTAACAGTATACTGTTAGTGTAATGTTATATTATTCTATAATGTTACTGTAATTATCATCATTTCATATAATAATATACTGTATAGCATAATATAAATTCCAGTTAAACGATACAGCAGTTTCTTTTTGTGGGTTGTTTTCATTCATTAAATCCTTGTGCATGAAAATGGTACCTAATGTGTTAATGCTATGTTCTAACTCCCCAGTAATCATAACCATCAGTGTAGAACAATGAGTTCAACATTGCTGCAGCACGTCAAACTTTTTATATTATTCAGCCCCATCCAAGCTGTGGTCTAAAAGTGACATTGAGGAGCACATCGACTTTATGAAAAGTTGAACATGTTTCAACAAAAAGCATCTGGTATAGCTATATGGCCAGCTGGCCAAACCCAACTTAACCTTCCTTATCTGATCACCATTATCCTCTGTCTTAATATGCTTCATTTGCAGACAATCATCTGTTGTTGTTTTTGTAACATTGTAACAAGCTGCACAATCGGCCTCAGAGCAACCTGACAGTAATATTACAAAGAGTTCGGTTTAGAACTGCTCTATATGAAAAGTGCAATTAGATATCTTCGGTTATGAATGGGCACTATGTAAAAACAAATAAATAAATAACACATACTGACGGCTTTTGTTTTATCTTGTTGGTAAGAATTCGCTATTAGCTTAAGTTGTAATAACAACTGCATCGCTTTTCTACTTTTACCCTTAACTTCACATGCTTCACTGCCTCCACCGCAGCCTCTCTGCTGTCGGATGTAACAATCAGCTTTAATGGGTAACTTCTTCTCATGTTTTTGCGTCTATGTGACAAATTGGGACGACATTTTTAAAAATTGGTCCAGTATTGAGCAAGCGCGCTGCAGTCAACCGCAGTGAAACAGCTGCATTGTAATCCTTGCGTGGAAATTAACACCCAGCAAGTGCCAAATGCGGGTAGATTTTCCATTTGGGTAAATGTATTTGGTACAATATTGGCATATTTTTACTGTAGCTAACAGAGGATCAGAGTTGTTTTTTGTTGTGTGTCGCACTTAAATTGGTCCCCGCTGTACTAATGTTGCGTCATTCAAAGAACATTCCGTTCATTTGACCTAATCTTGTATATGACTCAGGAGGAAAGAGTGGTCTCAGTGAGTAATTTGTTCATTTTCACACGTGTGAATAATCCTGGACTCTTACGTTCACTCGTTACACAGCAGCTGCATGGACTGCATGGTCAGCACAGGAAACAGTATTGATTAGTTCACAACTCTCAACTGTGAGTCTCTAGGTTTGAGTCATTCATTTGTCACTTGACAGCTTTGCTTGAACAACCTGGCAGCATTTGAGAGCAATGTGCTCATGTTTGTTTCTCTCTGTCTGCAGAATCCGGACCTGATGTGGCCCATTCTGCGTCCAGACGTGCCAAACTGCTGCGTTTATATAATGTGTTTATTTCTTTGTTCCCCTCATTGTGCTGGAGTTCTTTTAAGAACTTGATGGTTTTATCCAGATTATTATTAAATTGGTTGAACGCTCATCGATGAAAACTCACAGATAGAACAACTTTTCCTCGTCAATGCCTTTACAATGGACAGTAGAAAATTTAAGTCGATCCGATTAATTCCCTAGGAGGAGTTTGTTAAAGTACGGACCTTGTAAAAGGCCATAAATGGGCTGTAATTGCACATTCAAATCAAAATAGCTGACTTCCTGTTTGATTTCGGGTATGGCTCCAAGAGGTTTTTTTGTGCGTCTTGGCATGATACATGCACGACAAAAGTTTTGTGCATCTTGGTGATTCAGTGCGCAGGGGCTGCATCTTTGAAGGGACACTTCCTGATTCCAGCAGGTGGAGCTATGAGGTTGAGTGAATTTTGACCTGTAGATGTGTTGAGGGTGTGGCCCTTATCAAATGTGTGAAATTTGGTAGAGATATGAGCACGAAAACTCACCGTTTGCACAACTTCAATCGTCAATGGTACAGCTGAGAAGTTGGGATCTGAAGTTGATCGGACTAAATCCCTAGGAGGAGTTCGTTAAAGTACGGAGTGTGTAAATCATCAAAATTCAAAATGGCTGACTTCCTGTTGGGTTTAGTACATCGCTCCGAGAGGCTTTTGGTACATCTGGACAAGATACATGTGCCACAGAAATTTCATTGATGTAGGTGAAACGTTCTACGGGGGCTGCTTCGATGAATGTCATTTCCTGTTGCCAGCAGGTGGCGCCATGACCATGGATGAATGTTGCCATGTACATGTGTTCAGGGTGGGTCTCTTGTTAAACGTGTAAAATTTCGTACAGATCTGAGAATGTACAGTAAAGTTACAACAACTTCCTGTGTCATGGCGAAACATGGCACTTTGCTGCCATGCCACTGCCAAGCCGTTAACCAAAAATTCACAAGTTTTACAACATGACCTCATCAATGTGTTAAGGGTTTCCTGGGACAGTTTTGAACTTCATATGTCCAACCTGCTCGGAGTAGTACATTACAGCGTAAAACGTGTCATTTCCTGTTGCCAGCAGGTGGAGCTATGACTTTGGGTGAATATAAGCATATATGTGTGTTCAGGGCGGGACTCTTATAGTGTATTCCAAATTTGGTACAGATGTGAGCATGTAGATTGAAGTTACAATAACTTCCTGTTTTATGGTGAATTATCAATTTTGGACGCCACGCCACGGGCACGCCGTTCCACGAAAACTCACTGTTTGCACAACTTTTAATCATCAATAGGTTTAGACTGCACAGCGAAAATTTGAAGTTGATCGGAGTAATTGCCTAGGAGGAGTTCGTTAAAGTACAAAGTGTTTAAATCTCCAAAAATGAGCATTAAATCCAAAATGGCCGACTTCCTGTTGGGTTTAGGCTATGGCTCCAAGAGGCTATTTGGTACTTCTGGAAATGATACACGTACCACAGAAATTACACGTAGGTGAAACTTAGTCCGGGGGCTGCTCTGTAGGGAACGCTAGCGTGCCATTTTGCCACTCCCATGTGCGAAACCCATAAAATACAAAATTTTTCGCCACTCCTGAATTTTGTGCAAAGTTTGTTGAGTTTTCGAGTAGGTTTAAGCCCCCAAAATTGAGGTTACTTTGCAGAAAAAAGTTTAAAGCTGCAAGCAGCGTTGGGCGGGCCCTCGCAGTTGTAGCGCGTTGCGGTGTGAGGTGGCCGCGTTGCATATTCTGGAGCTCTGCCAGTGCGGCTGTGAATTTGCTACGGGCTTCGGACGCTGCATGAAGGTGTTATACCTCACTTCCTGTGTCCTCTTTGTGGCGCTACATAGCACTTGGCGCTATGAATATAAATTAATATTGACATGTGGATGTCTTCGGGGTGGGACAGTTATCAAGCACGTAAAGTTTTGTTCAGATGTGAGCATGTACACTGAAGTTACAACAACTTCCTGTGTCCTGGCGAAGAGTTGATCTTTGACGCCACGGACACACCCATTGACAAAAATTCACAGATAGCACAACTTTTCATCATCAATGTCTTTAGAAGGAACAGCAGAAATTTGAAATTGATCCGACTAAATCCCTTAGAGGAGTTTGTTAAAGTACGGAGTGTGTAAATCATCCAAAAATTGCCATAAAATTGGTTGGTGTTGTGTTTGATTGGCATAGATATGTAAGTGTTAGGGGATTGGAATTGGGAGCAGTCAAGTCGTACTAGGAGGACCTTGAGTGTTTTTAGCATTTAGCTAGCTAGCTACCACTGTAAGTTGCATACCTAACACTCCCGTTTTCCCCAGGCTTCTCCTGGATTATACCGTTGTCTCCCGGTGTCCTCCCTTTTAAATATTTCCCTGTAAATCTCCCGTTTATTTATACCCGCTGTTTGCTACGTTCCCCTCAGTTAAAGCCGGTGGCAGCATATAGAACAGTTTGTTAACAGTTCAGGGAATTCAGCAGCACCTGCAAATAAAACAAGAAGAAGAAAAGTAGCGCGACGGGTTCAGGACGGATGATGCCTTGCTCAACAGTATTTTACAAGCATTTGCCCATAAAATTTTGTGCATGAATGGTTACGATTTTTGTTAGGATTTAGCATTAATAAATTACAGACCAATGTTTTTCTTGCACAAAAAAATTTACATAAAAGGGCAAGTTATTATTTTGGCCGGTGGATTTTTTCATCTACGTTAATTTTATCTAAGTTAATTTCATCTAAGTTAATTTCCACCACTGCTTGTGGGCTCCGTCAAAATATGTCTACTAAAATTCTTATTTTTGCCAATGACAGGCTCACATTGTTTTACAAGTGTCTGACAACATTATGGAAAGGATCCCTACACAGATATAGACCTTTTTAAAAGTGTAAGATCCTTTTTGTTTAACCACTTACAGTGACTATATCGCACTCATCAAAGCCACATGCTCGCTCAATACTGGATCAGTTTCAAAAAATGCTGTCCCAATTATGGAGTTACATAGCACAAAAACATGGGAAACAATAGGATCCAGGTTGAAAAACACCTAAGTTTAACTCCATCCTGCATACATGGTTGCAGGGGTGCTAGAGCAAATCCCAGCTGGCATCAGGCATTGTAGTTAATAGTTGCTCTTGACAATTGTCACTCTGACACTATGAAAATATTGTGTAGAGTAATTCTAAGATTATGTGGCTGGAAATGTTTCAGTATGCATTCATTTCTTCCACATAGTAAGTCATTTACATACAACAGAACCATATAAAACGAAAGTATTTTACGAACTGTATAGTACAGGACATTGTTATTTCAAACCTGTTCAGAAAGGAAATGTACTATTTAGAGATGAAGTGCTTTTGGGAGTGTATGAGCATTTGCCTGAACAGCGAATCAATGAAAATCACTTTTTGTAACTTCAGTATAAAATCTGGCTGCTGGAAAAACAGCATGGTTCATGACAATTCAGTGTTTGAAAGTGGTAACAAATCCATTCCATGCGATCTGAGCAGAGGCTGACCTAGTTTGACCTCACTAATAATAATGCTGCAAGGTGATTCCTAAAAAAATAGAACCCTATGAACAATGGAGTTGTTCAAATATACAAAGATATGCTCCCTGTTTGTAAAATAGGTACCAGTAGTGCCCCCAAAACCCCAAATTCCTGCAGAACTGATGATGCTTAACATTGCAAGTGATCTTTGAAATTCAAACATTACATCGTATGAGCTATTGGCCTCTCTAAGAAAATCAGGGGATATACCTTTTAGGAGAGGGAACACTTCTGTGCAGTATTACGAAGTGCAAAGCACGTCAACAATATCAGTGGTGGCAAAGAGTAAAGAAAAAGTTGGGCTATTTTTTAGGTTGCATGGCAATATCTCCTCTGTGTGGACTGGAGTTTTACATGTGCAAACATTTCTGAGGTAAGAGCTGCTATGGGTATTAGGGGTATGATGAGACAAGATTTTAACCCTATTTTTAATAAATCTTCAATGCTGAATTATATGAAAATTTTGAGCATTAAACAGTTAGTTTAATTTTAACTTTAAGTTGTTTTCTACACCAGTTTTATGGTGGAAATGTTTTTATTTATGTAAAAGGAAACACAATTCAGGTGGCAGGTGACGATTTAAAATCCAATGCAGTGCAGCTCTCCGACATTCTGTGCTGCTTTCAGATCTATTTCTCCTGTAGATCAGCTTTTCTCATGTAATATCATCCTGCTGAGTCAGCATACATGCAGATGATTTAGTCTTCCCTCTGTGTATTTTGTTTGGGGAATTAACCTCTTTCAATATGCATGTGGCACCTTTCTACTTCAAGTTAGAAACTCCTGGACTTTAATAGCACGTGTTTCAGAAGGTTTTTTGCTCATGTTCAAAACTTTCTGCACATTTAGAATCTCACCCTCATCTCTGTGTTCTCGGACATGTCCAGAAAAAAGTTGTAATATTACGAGACTAACTGTGAGTGGGCAGAAATCTCACCACAAATCTCCACACATCTTAACTTCAGCAGCTCTGATAAAGTGCAGTTCACAGTCCCAAACAGAGCAAAGCTGCACCTCAGTTTTTAGATGTTTATAATGCTACTATACCAGTTAGTTACCACTCGTCACAACTGTCTGGACTCACAGTACAAAAGTGGGTTCACTTGATTACTACCACGGTGTACGCCTGGTGTCGCATCAGCTGGGAGAAGTTGATCAGTTCCACAAGTCGACGTTATACATTTGTTTTTACTGCATTGATTGATGTGTGGCATAAGAGCGTGTGGAAAATGTCATGACCTGACGGGAAATCTTGTACCGTTTAATCCCGCGAGATGTCCTTGGAATCATTATTGAATCTAATGAAGTTTAAAGCAACATGATGTAGTGAATTATCTTGAAATAACTATCTTCATGGTACACTGACTGACTAATGGGGTGAATGAAGTCCCTGTCATTGTCACTCTGGTCCTGGAGAATCTGGTATTGCTCTATGTAGCATTGGAATCCTGGGCTGGAAACTTTCGCAACGACATAATGCTTTACATCACAATGTCAAACACCAGACTCTTCAGTAAGCTAGCTACAAGAAGAAGCAAGAAGTACATAATGTACAATGAAAGCTCTTTGGAAGAAGCTAGCTAGTCAGTGGAAGCAAGGGAGAGAAAAAGAGAATGAACAAGCAAGAGGCTGCCAGACGTTGGCGAGAGCTTTGTAAAATAAAAGGCTGCAGGAGACATGCCGAGCTGGCCTTCTTTCTGTTGGACTAGTCAGTAATATTGCTGTGTTATCGCACTTGTTTGATGTTTGGCTGTTGGCAAAGTTGTTGACTTGCTAGTTTTTGATCATAAATAATATAATCACAACAATTGCACATGTACAGCTGTCCTTATTTACCACAGCATTTAATTACACACGGTAGGGTTGCCAAATCACACGAAATTTTACATAATGTTACTTTAAATTCCAACATTTGCAACATAATTTTAGCTAACTAAATCTTTTCTACGTTGCATCTATGCGCAAATCCAAAACGGCAGAGGTTTATTTATATTTTTGACTCTGTTTTGATATTTTTTGTGTACATGTAGGAATTTTGTGGGTCATAAAATGGGCTCAATTCCCCTGCAATGTTATTAATTAATTATAATATCCACTACAAATTTCACAGAAATTCATTGTTATCTTTTAGATGCATTGTGCAGAAATATTTAGATTAAAGGTCAGGGGGTCACCATAATCATTAGTAATTATCCATACTGGTTTTCATAGCATATTAGCCAGTAGTTATGGACCTATCTTGCTCTGACAGATTGAGGACCAGACTGACAGACCTCAGTCATGTGCCATGCCTCATCACTAGTGCGGGGAACAACAAGGCACTATCATTAATAATTTGTCTCTAGATTTTTTTGCCAAAGATAGTAGCTGTTATTTTTTCTACAAGAGCAGCTCTGCTTCTGTGAAATGCTTGTAGGTATTAAACTCCAGTCGTCCTATTTTGAGGTACTGGTTTTATAGATACAGATAACCTATCCAATAAACCAGATTGAAAAGGCCAAAAGCAGTGGGGAAGAATATTCGTGAGTAAGAATCAATCTTGGAAACCCGCACGTGCATCCTATTTTCACGCCAGGCACCTGAGCGGCAGTCATCAAAGCAGCAGAAGAAGCTGGTGCAGTCTTTTCCATCCAAACACTCGAAAGCATAGTCACTATCCTCGTGATAGGGCACAATAGTGTTCATTTGCAGTAGGGACGTGCCAGGTCGGATATTCACCATGCTGGATGCTTTCTGCTGTGAATGAAAACACACACAGGTATTTCAGTATGTTACTATAACATTCAGTGTGTTCAAAAGAAAAAAAGAAGAAAGAAAATGAGTGTTAGGTACCTGTATGGTATTGTTGGCTTTAGCATTTTTGGTCTGTCTGTTGCTAGTGAAGTAGTGCAGAGTACCGTACTCCATGAGGGCAGCAAAGGTGAAGATAAAGCAGACAGAGACAAACAGGTCCATGGCAGTAACATAGGAAACCTTGGGCAGGGACTTCCTGGAAATGGTGCTTAGAGTGGTCATGGTGAGCACTGTGGTGATACCTAAATGGATTGTCACAGAGACAAGTTCCTCAGTGGAATATCAAATACCCTTTTCTCTACATTAATTTTAATGCTTGTGTCCTTCTTGATGAATTTGGCTGCCAAAGCAAAAATCAGTGAAATATCATAGCAGTGAGCAGTATTTTGACTCAGTGTTCAGTCTTGTCTTGTTCGTTTGGCATAGAACAACTGAGTTGGTGTGGGCACTGGGCAGTTACAGGGCTCCACCTCAAAAGACTTCTGGATATTGAGGTCCTAAAGTCTCAATTACCTTTCAGGGGATTGAAATCATTATGTGAAACTTATAAAGTGCAACTTTAAAGCCCCTACCAACTAACATAACAATACCCACTTCAAACCAGTCATCACAGGGGAAAAAGGAAAAGCAATCAGAAGCTGATAGAGAAAATACAATTTCAGGGCCTTTAAAGCCTCAATTTCCTCATTATGTTAATAAGTACAGTAGAGTGGCCAGTGCCCAACAAATTTACACTCTGACTCAGTTTAACTGTGTATAAAATGAAACCATTTCACACCCAGAGATGTGCGGGCTGGGACGGCATCCTTGTTGATCCAAAAGGAGACCCAGGACAAGACTACGATCATACTGCAGGGAATGTATGTCTGGATGGTGAAGTAGCCCATTCTCCGACTCAGGTCAAAAAAGATTGTCATGATAACATATTCACCTGAAAGTTTAACAATAAGGTAGATAGAGAAGTAAAACATTAATATGTCTTGGAGGAAAGTGAGATGTTCAAAGACATAGGTAATCAGGGTAAAATAGAGAACAGATGGGACGTATATATGTAACCCATTGGAGGTTACCAATTTTATGACTGGGGAAGTATGCGTCCTGAAATTAGTACATACAGAGTTTCTATTTACACATTATTTCAAAATAAAGTCCCTACTTCCATGAATCACTAAAATAAATGTACAGATGAGAAGCCCCCACACATTCATAGGATTGGTATGATCATGGTAACACGAATGCAGCAGAAGAATAAATTGAATCTATGTGGTAATGTTGAGCCACACTCTTCCCTAAAACTAATTCAAATTCTAAATTTTTTAATATCAGTGCCTCTTGTAAAACTGGAAACTGGCAGCATGTAAGAACTTGGCCATCATCTCTCACCGGACTGGGTGTGTGCCACATCAGAGGTGTTCCTCAATCCTACAAAGGCAAACTGGTAGAGCCTCCAGTACCGCTGGTCTGCCACCTCCACTGCCCGTCTCTGCCACCGGTAGAGGATTTCATTCTTGGGATAACCATCTACAGAACAGACACAATAGATCAATTATAAGCCTTTACTGATGCCTATACTATCCAACAGGAAGCTCAAATCTATCATTCGGTGTATTGTATGTACTGTATCACAAGGGAACATTGCGACAAGGCAAAGGGTAGCATTCAAGATGGAACTGACCTGCCCAGTCTCATGAAATTTCTTCAAATGAGCAAGATGTCTTTAAAGTACAGTACAGTATGGGTTAGTTAAACGTGAGGTTTAGTAGACATTCCTGTAATAGTCAGTATTGGGTTGTTTGTGCAGTTGTGAACTAGTGCTCACTCCCAGGCAATAAACAGTGTGTTCAATCCCTTCTTCAATATATATTGAAGAAGGGAAGAAATTCCCTATGTCGTTAATACATTTTTAGTGAAGTTTGTTTATTGATGCAGTATTGTATTTGACATTAGCTTGTATTGCTTCTAAATTGGATTATTTTATACAAACAAGGCTCATGTTTGGAATGGTTTGAAATTATTCTAAACTCTCATTGAAACATGACACAGAGAATATAGACTATGACTAATACATATATATTACAACTTGTAAATACAAAACAGGATCTTCAAATATATATACATATATATATTATATAATTTTAATTTAAATGTACTGCTATATAAACACAAAAGTGCAATAACATGTGGTTTGCAAACACTTTATACAAATAGGGTGCTTTTTCACTGCAGTATTCCCATTACACAGTAGCAATAAAATATTTCTTGTTAAAGCTTGTTGTTGAAACAAGTTACCATCAAAGTCTAATGATCAGGGAGCAGCAGAAACAGTCTGTTTAGTAGGGTTGGAACGATTTCTACAAAACTACATTGAAACATCGGGATGGACGACGGCATTTGTGGGGGTTGTAGCGGGATCGGTGTGTGTTCACTCGCACAGACTTCACTCGGTTAAAAACTTTTATTTTTTTATTTTACAAACACAGACCAGGTAACGTTAAAGCAGCATTGAACACAGGGTGCAGATGTTGGTTTCAGCTGTTTGAATTGTTTGATAAGCTGCGTCATTAACAAGCAAGCGGCTCACCTGGTGCCGTGATAACGGATCGAGGGTGGAAAAAGATGACAGTGTAGTCTGCTGAAGCCTCCCTCTACTGCTTTTTTGGGTGGGTGATTTGCAGGCTGATCAACCTCCCACCCCTCCTGTGACCCATGGTTTGACTGTATGTGTATTCAGAGCCAGTGAGCAAGGGACTTTCAAACTAATAATAATAAAATAAAAACTGCATTAATGTGTGATAAAATTATTGTCGGCGAGAATTAATTAATGGCGGGTTGGTACTAGCAAACCGGTACTAGCCAACCCGGTACTAGCCTTCAGAACTAATTCTTTGTGGCATATTCTCAACAAGGTGTTGGAAACATTCCTCAGAGACTTTGGTCCATATTCACATGATAGCATCACAAAGTTGCTGCAGGTTTGTCAGCTGCACATCCATGATGCCAATCTCCCGTTCCACCACATCCCAAAGGTGCTCTATTGGATTGAGATCTGGTGACTGTGGAGGCCACTGGAGTACAGATGAACTCATTGTCATGTTCAAGAAACCAGTTTGAGATGGTTTGAGCTTTGAGACATGGTACATTATCTTGCTGGAATTAGTAGCCATCAGAAGATAGATACATTGTGGTCATAAAGGGATGGACATTGTCAGCAACAATACTCAGATAGCATTTAAAAAATGCTCATTTGGTACTAAGGGTCCCAAAGTGTGCCAAGAAAATATCCCCCACACCATCACACCACCACCAGCCTGAACCGTTGATACAAGGCAGGATGGATCCATGCTTTTTTTTCTTTTTTTTTTTACGTTATTTGAGTTACTGTTGACTTTCTGTCATCTCGAACCAGTCTGCCCATTCTAATCTGACCTCTGACATCAACAAGGCATTTTCATCCACACAACTGTCGCTCACAGGATATTTTCTCTTTTTTGGACCGCTCTCTGTAAACCCTAGAGATGGTTCTGCGTGAAAATCCCAGTAGATCAGCAGTTTCTGAAATACACAGACCAGCCTGTCTGGCACTAACATCCATGCTAGTTCAATCTCACTTAAATTTCCTTTCTTCCCCATTCTGATGCTCGGTTTGATCTTCAGAACTTATGGGGTCAGATTTTTTATGTACAGATGCCAACCATATTGTCTACCCAGAGAATTCACCAAACACTGCCACGTAACTAATTTCACTCATTGGGGACCTCCAGTCTCTTGGGTATGGGGTCAATGGAAGGTAAATGTGGGTGATGCTTTATGATATGTCCGGGGGGTCATGAATTTACGTGGTTCACCACATGTATCTGAACATGATAGTCTTACGTTGAGTGTACCCTAGGGAACAATCAAAGACATCATGTTCCCTTGGTGAGCTAGTGTTCCGACTCTGAGATTAGGATAAAAGCTGCAAACCTTTAAAGAAAAGCCTTTAAAGCAAACTGGGCCGCACATTCAGCATGGATGAGAGAGGCGACCCGCAGGGACAGAAAATTACAGGCAGGGACAGACCCCTCTAACAATTCTGCATTTCAGTGTGTCAAACTAGATCCGGACCTGGACTCGGTTCTCCCACAACCAAGTCAGCCAAACTCTGCTCCACCTACCGACCAACCTTCATCCGGAGCGGCAGAGGCAGCATAGCCACTGCCAGTAAAACAGAAAGAGGAGCAGAAACCTGTTGTTAAAAAGATTTGCCCGCATACCAAGCTAGCAGCAGCAGCAGCCGCAGCTTTGGGAGGGGGAGCAGTAGAAAAAGCAACCCCCACCCAGATGATTGTTGACCCTTCAGATGGGGGCAACCTGGGCACAGGTCTCAGGGGGTTATCCTGCAGAGGACATTAAATTGTCAAACCCTCTTGGGACGCAGAGGAGAACGCAGACTACAGAGCGGTGGTTGATCTTCTCTGTAAGAGAATAGAGGAACTATTTCCCCGGAAGCTGGACTGGGCACTTCTAACAGGGTGCACACAGAGATGTGACGAGAGGGTGGCAGATTTCCTAAACAGACTTTCTGAACTTCATGACATCCACAGCGGTCTGGTAAAGCCAAATGTGATGGGACCATCACATGACATCACCCTGTGGGAAGCCACTCTCAGAAACAACTTTCTCACCAGACTGAGACCAGAGATCACCAACATGGTGAAACACCACTGTTTGACATGGCAACATGGTCACATGGACATTATTCAAAGACATGCCATCCATGCCGAGGATTTCCTCCTGAACAAAAAGGATCAGAGAGAGCAGCAGAAAGACAGGCTGTAAATGGCACAGCCGGAGGCAAATGAAAAGGACGTGGCAGATCTGATGCTTGTTATATCTGCAAAAAGCACGGACAACATCAGATCCAAATGGTACATCGCAAAAGATTCTCTGCTGTAGTGACTGCAGTGCAGATTTTCAAATGACAAATGTGACAACATTGGGGCGGCTGTGGCTCAGGAGGTAGAGCGGGTTGGCCATTAATCGGAAGGTTGGCGGTTCAATCCCCGTCTCCCGTACGTGTCGAAGATGCTCAACCCCGAATTGCCCCTGCCGGCTGTTCCGCCAGTGTGTGAATGTTAATGTTAGTTTCTGTTTGAGCACTTAGGCTCAGTGTATGAATGTATATGACTGGTGAATGCAGATGTAGTGTAAAAGCGCTTTGAGTGGTCGAAAAGACTAGAAAGACAATATACAAATACGGAGCATTTACATTTACAACAGATGGTAAAACAAAGACTGATAAACACATTTTTGTTAAAGATGTCTCAGACATTCCTGAGTTAAGTGAAGTGCCATCATGCTTGTGGGCACAGGGTAAGTATGATGTAGAGCTAATTAAAGGTGCGGAACCTGTAGTTATCAACCCAAAATCCTCATACAGACCATGTCAAAATCAATATCCTTTGATTCTCTCCTGAAAACAGGAGTGATTGTGCCTTGTGAAAAATCTCCTGTGAGAACTCCAATCTTCCCAGTGAAGAAAATCCGTGACGCCGGACAGCCAGATAAGTGGCGTTTTGATCAAGACTCAGCAGTGTACGTACGTGCGCCAAATGGCCCAAACCCTCACACGATTCTCTCACAGATACCACCTGACAGTAAATGGTTTTCTGTCGTAGACTTGGCAAATGCATTTTTCAGCATCCCAGTGGATGCTGGAAGCCAGTACTGGCTTTTTCCTTTGACGGTAAAATGTATACGTTTTCCAGGCTCTGTCAAGGATTTTGTGAATCGCCAACGATCTGCTGCATTAAAGGAAAACTTAGACTCACTCACTCTGACAGAAGGGAGTGTTCTTCTTCATTATGTTGATGACATCATGATTTTTTCAGCCACGAGAGAGGCCTGTGTAAAAGACACACTGGCTCTGCTAAAGCATCTGGCTGAAAACGGTCACTAAGCGAGTATCAAAACTACAGTTTGTTTCTGAGAAAGTCACTTTCCTGGGCCATGTGATCATGGCTGAAGGAAATACCCTCTCTGAATAGAGAATCAAAGCCATCCAAACAATTCCAAAACCAGAAACTAAAAAGCAGGTTATGAGTTTTCTGGAAATGACTTCATACTGCAGACAATGGATTGTAGGCTATGCAGAAATAGAGAGCCCCCTTACGGAAAATGTGCACGGGAAGGGCCTTGCAGCAAAAGACAAGGTGCACTGGACACCTGAAGCTGAAAAGGCTTTCGTTTATTTAAAGCTAGCTCTTCAGTCTCCACCGACCCTGGGTCTTCCCGACTGTAACAAACCTTTCACCCAGATAGTTGATGAGAAGGGGGGGGTACATGACCTAAGTAGTACTACAAGACCATGGGGGACGACTGAGACCTGTAGCTTATTTTTCATCCAAACTGGACTCTGTTGCACCAGGGCTGCCAAACTGCCTGAGAGCCGTGGCAGCTGCCGAAAAAGCAGCCATGGCTTCACGTGACATTGTGGGTTACTCAGACTTGACATTGTTGGTCCCACGTGCAGTGTCGATGAT